GGGTGGGAGTTCCCTCTGGGGTGCCTGGCCAGTCTGGGTGAGGGGCTGAGGGCTGTTTTCGGGTTGGGACGGAAGCTCCCAACCGCTCCTTTTTTTCTCTCTTTTTTTTTTATTGTGGGCCAGCTTTAGCTCTGAGGTTCCAGCTCTTAGGCTTCCGCTCCTAAAAGCAAGTATCTGGTTTGTTTCGATTCTATAATCGAAACTCTGTATCAACTCCAGCTCTGAGATCCCGGGGCTCGCTGAAAGCAGGTTTCTGGAGTTTTTTTTTAGCTTCTATATGTTACTATGTTTCAAACTGCCCGCTCAGAGGCCTGCAGCGGCAGGCAGGGAACTTTGGTTTCCACTGTCACTGAAGCAAGCAAGCCTTGTGTTCAGTTTCAGGCTGCCTGGCTGCCAGCTGCCATCTTGGCCGGCAGTTAATTTGCATATTGCCCCTGATTAGCCAATGGGAAGGGTAGCGGTCGTACGCCAATTACCATGTTTCTCTTTTGGAGATGAACTCCCGGTCTGATGAATCATTGGCAAATATATTCTCCCATACAGTAGGTTCCCTTTTAATTTTATAGATGGTTTCTTTTGCTGTGCAGAAGCTTTATAGTCTGATGTAGTTCCATTTGTTTATTTTTTCCTGTGTTTCCTTTTCCCTTGGAGACATATTGCTGTGAGAGATGTTTGAGATGTTACTGCTGTGGACGAAAGGGGCCACATGCTGACCTGACAAGCTCAGGGGAGGCCTGCATGGCAGTCTTGCAAACTCAGAGACCTAAAGTAACCACAAAGGATGGTCTGAAATTAAACTTTAAAGCAGTTATGGTGGCCAGTTACGTCCTAGGCCAGTATCTTCACTGACAAGGTCAACCTTTACCTTAACTGAGCCTATCTGTCTTTTTGCATCTATGATAACATACCCTTGAAATGTCTGGGTAACCTGTAACTTCCGTTTTTCTGGAGCCCCTGGGGCACAACCAAATGTGCTGGGCACCAGGATACCACAAATCCTTCATTATCATGTTAATTATTCCTGCACCCTCCTAAGTATGTGTCCATCGTTTTACTTTTTATCCAATCCCAGGGGTTTCCCTGCTTTGCTTTATCCCTCCTCCTTAATCTATCACCAATGAATTTCATGTAACCCACCTATGTCCCTCCTTTGATTGCAAATGTATAAATACAATGTAACCACCATTCTCAGGAGCATTATCTCAATTCGTTGAGGTTCTGCTTCCTGGCATATGTCGACAGTTTGGCTCAAATAAACTCACAAAAATTCTTTACAGGTTTCAATGGTTTTTTTACGTTAACACTGCCTATATTTTCTTCTAGGATTTTTAAGTTTTCACAACTTATATTTGAGTCTTTTACCCATTTTGAGTTTATTCCTATGTAAGATGTAAGTTGGTAGTTTAGTTGCCTTTTTTTGCATGTTGCTGTCCAATTTTCCCAACACCATTTACTAAAGAGACTGTTTTTACTTCACTGTATGCTCTTGTCTCCTTTGTCAAATATTAATTGACCATAAAGGCTTGGGTTGATTTCTGGGCTCTCTGTTCTATGTTAGGTTGGAGAGACCCCAGGATTGGATACATGCAGACGTGTGATGAGATAATGGACTTCCCCTAGAATTTCTCACAGATCAACGTGCCAGACACAGATACTGGCTTCTTCTCCCTGAATCCACATACCCCCACACAGACACTGACTTCTTCCTGAATACCTTGCTGACCCCCTGAAACTGAAACTTCCTCAGCTGAATACCTCAGCTCATGTCCCCGCCCCTCACCCAACCACACTATAAAAAAAGCGCCCCCCTCCCTGTTGGCATGAATCCATGTGCCCTGTCTTTGGGGTATGTGGGTCTCCTGGAGACTCAATAAACCTTTTCCTTTTCTTTTTCTGATTCACTGGACTCTCTTTATTTCCTATGCCGCCTCCTGAGCCAACTAACCTAACAGAATCCACAGACAGAAAGTGGTATAGCAAAGGTGGAGATTTATTGAAGAACAAGTACAGACTCCCACATGGGGAGAGGGGAAGAGTCCCACAGAACTGACTCCCAAGTAGGGAGGGGGGA